AGGAGATTGCTGGCGACCTTCACCAGGAATAGTTCAGGGCAGTGGGAAAGGAGTTGAGGCGAAAGGAGCCCAATGGGAGCAGCTTACAGTGAATGGGACTTGAAATGGAAAGGATGGATGAAGAGAATTTTGAAAAGCTCAGTCATGAAGTGGGTAAAGAGGATAGGCAGGAATCAAGGGAGGGTTTCATGTTATATGTATACTTTTAAAATAGGAGTTACTCGTCTAGAATAAGTTTTAATTTTGAGGGGAATAATTCACATGGAATAGATGGGTTGTAGAAAATGCAGTGCTGTGAAGTACTTGAGGCAGCGGTTCTCAACCTGTGGGTCGCGACCCCTTTGGCGGTCGAACAACCCTTTCACAGGAGTCGCCTAAGACCATCCTGCATATCAGATATTTACATTATGATTCATAACAGTAGCAACATTACAGTTATGAAGTAGCAACGCAAATAATTTTATGGTTGGGTCACAACATGAGAAACTGTATTTAAAGGGCCAGAAGGTTGAGAACCACTGACTTGAGGAGATGAGAGAAAATGGAATACCTACCATATGTAGTGCAAATGGCCTTTTAACTCGAACTCTTACAATAAAAGGGAATACAAAGATTAGTGTGAATGCAAATGAATTAATGAACCGGACAGTGGGCTATTTACAGGCTTCTATATTCTTAATAAGATATGAGGCAACTCATCAGCTGAGAGCAAGGGAAGTAGAGAGGGTAGAGGAAAATTTGAGGAGAGTGGGGAAGGCTTTTAAAAAAAATAGTCATTAAGGAGAATTAGAAGGAACTTACTGGTAAGTCAGAACAATATTTCCAGCCTAGAAAACTCATTTGAAGTTGGTAATTATTAATTTATTAGAATTTCAATTTGCCCTGACTCATGATTTTTCTCCAGCTATCTGGATATAAGTTACAAAAAAGCAGAAAAGAGTGATAGATGATGAACGAGAAAAAATACAATTAGTATTCTACATATAATATGTGTGCAGTTCAACTTCAATAGTTATAAAAATTTAAAGAAATGAAACATGAGGTTTCAGTTTAACTTAGCAAAATAAACAATTATATATATTTTATGTTGGAAAAATTTTTTGCAATATAATTTGGTTTGATCTTTTGAAAAGTAATTTGGAAATCTCCAGCAAGATAAGAATGTTCATAGGTTGCCCTAACCGGTTTGGCTCAGTGGATAGAGCATCAGCCTGCGGACTCAAGGGTCCAAGGTTCGATTCCGGTCAAGGGCATGTACCTTGGTTGCGGGCACATCCCCAGTAGGGAGTGTGCAGGAGGCAGCTGATCAATGTTTCTCTCTCATCGATGTTTCTAACTCTCTATCCCTCTCCCTTCCTCTCTGTAAAAAATCAAAAAAATATATTTAAAAAAATAAAAATCATCATTCTCCCCTTTAAAAAAATGTTCATAGGTTATTACACATTAATTCTAACTCTAGAAACTTACTCCAATAAATAATTTTTATTTATAAAATTGTTATATAAATAAAGGTGTTCATTGGCATGTCAATTCTAATAACAAAAAATTGGAACCACCTTTAATAGTCAACAATACAAAAATGTTTTGGTAAAGTATATCCACTTAATAGAAAACTCATTATCCTGTTATAATTACAAGACTGTACAGCAAAATGGAATTACTCTTAATGAAGAATGAAGAAAGCTGATTTTAAAATACTGTTTACCTTTTGGCAACTATGCAAACATGTGAATATTTATTAAAATTAAACCAAAATAAAAATTTAAAAGCTCTGTAACAGTAATGGGAATTTTTTGTTTCAAAATACTCTTTAACATACAGTATTTCATTTTATAATTTTGTTTTTAAGAGGATTAGTGAAGGAGTTCTTTTCTAACCCTTTTCTTAAGACTTTGTTATTATTACATTGTTATACTTCATACTTTCAAATAAAGTCAACGATTCCATCATCAAGAAGATTAGAAGATTTGACAGTTCATACTTTCAAGTTATTTGGTATAAAGAGACCATATGCATTTGTAAGTGCTTTAAAAATATCATTTAAAGATTTTTTTCTTTTTCTTAATCTTTCTTAGTATAGAGATTAAGCAAACTACCCAAATTGCTAGCCATTCTCTTCCACTTTTCTCATGTTTATTGATTTAATGTTCCCTTCACAGAAATGAGAACAAATGAATCTGCAGGTGCACTGCCAATTTCTATGTCCCCTGTTACCCGCAGCATGAACTGTGCTGGTATGAATGCTTCCTGTCTCTTCAGAGCACTCCCGTTATTGAGTTCATCTTTGGTCTTCTCTAATAAATATCTTATGTAAAAGTAAATTTGGATTCAACTTCTGGAAGCCTTTTGCTTTCTCAGTTCCGAAGTGAGAGATCTTTTGTTCAGCCATGTGGTTAACAGTTATTTGCGTAGTTTGGAGCTCCTAAGTTATTGGTTGATGGGATTTCTCAGTTCTCTATCAATCAAACTAATTCTCTCTCTCTCTCTCTCTCTCTCTCTCTCTCTCACACACACACACACACACACACACACACACACACACACACTGTATTAAGAGCACAGAGTCTGGCATTATGAAGTCCCAGATGCTGATTCTGGTCCTGCCATTTCTGGGCCATTTCACTTTAGGCAAGTCACGTAATAACTCACCCTTCTTATTTTCATCTGCAAAGGGGAGATTCCAATGACGTCAGACAATCCTCAAAGCATTACTAATGATTTTAGAGACTTTTTTAAAGAGTCAGGTATAAAGCAGACACTCAATATATGGCTAGTATTTTTATTAGTTTATTATGATTTAGGCCTTGGTTTTCCCTGAATTGGTGAGTCTCCATCATGAAATGCAATTTCCAATAAATTGAGTAACACCTGTTATCAGGAAAGATTTTAACTGAGTTCATGACTTCTGAGGCAACCCTGATTAGTTTTCTGCTTTTTCCCTTTGCCTTATGTAGTTGCTCAATAAAGAATCATTTAATAAACAATGAATAAATAAGTGCATGGATGAATGATTTAATGCTACTTTTTGAGAAGGTAGAACAAACATGAGTTGGTGGAACAGATGAGTAAAGAATCCAAAAAAAAAAAAAAAAAGCCAACTGTGTGTGCCCAGGGTCAGCCTAGGAAGAACTGCTCTGTTTATAAAAACACAAAGGAAAACGTGTTGAATAACTTATTTTAATTATTTTTTAAGAGTTAAGCACAAACATCCCCTGATGACTTCCTTGTTTGGCACCAGTAAAAAATAAGATAGGATTAGAGCCGTATTACAGACATTAAATAATAATACCATGCAGTCTAAATCTCTGGAACATTTCTGAGTTGGCTGATGAAAAGTAATGAGTGACTTCTGAACAGCAGAGACAGGGAGAGCATGGCCTGTTCAGCTTTCTGTCGTGCCTCGAAGTGAAATGTGTGGTGATCTGGCTACACAGCTGTCTCTCGTAATGGCTGTCAGGCCCTGCTGTGTCAGGTTTCCCCTGGGAAGATCAGATTTTGCCATGGGAGGGATTTGTAGAAGTGCATCCAGTATCATTGGCAATCACAAGTGTCAACAAACTCCAATTTAAATTGATGAACATAATGAAATGATGGTATTATTTAATTGTGAGGTTTTGGGAAAAGGTGGGAATGAAATGTGTCAAAGTGATGCCTTTATAGGCCAAAATAACGATACATCACTTTGATAACATAAAAGCATTAACTAAAGTTGTCTTGGCATCTTGCATTAGTATTTCCTTGTACTTCAGACATTGCCAACAATCAATGTTTATGATCATCTCCTCCCTCGGAAGTGGAATCGTGCCCATAGTACACATTAGTCCTATAAGGGATTAATCACTGAAAGGGAATTCAGCATCTAAAGACGATTTGCTCTGATTTATTCAGTGGGTTCTTCCAAAAAGGTGGTACCAGGAATTATTGCTTTTTGAATTGAAGTTACACATCTTTTCAGAGTTATTGAGTTTCCCCCCCAACATCAATATCAATGAAGGTAAAGAACAGTTACATATTCAGCAAGAAATGCAGGCACATAATCCCAAACAATTTATGGCCCTTACCAGTCCAGTCCTCCTTTCAGGGTCATCACTGGGACAAGCACCAAGACAGAGCATGGATGTGTCTCTCCTAGATCCTAATGTGTCTAAATGGGTAGGAAAGAGCATAACCTTGGAGAGAAAAATAATGTATTTGAGACTGGCCAATGGGTAAAGGGAAGAAGAGACACTGCCACTTGTTTTCCGTGAATGATGGTGTGGAATTTATGGGCAGATGGTCTGGAACAGGTGTGACTATAATTTGAGGAGACTGCTTGCTCCCTTAGTTGCTCAGAAAACTGTGATTATTACTTTGGAAGCACAACCATAGGACTTTATTGCTTCACCTGTTGTAGCCTTTTCCTTTACCTTAATATCTGGCTTTCTAAATCACTGATTGGCAGTCAACAGATTTATTCTCTCTCCGCCACACCATCACAAAAAGAGACCCACAGGCGCTCCTGTGCACACTCACACACATGCACACGCACACTTTTGTGTGTGACAGCCCTTGAACAGGCAAGCTCACAGTGCATGTATGCGATGGATATTGTTCATTAAAGATCTCTCTGAAATATTCTTTGCAAGTTCGCCTTGTTTATTTTTATGAATAATTAAGTTTAGTCAAATTAATAATTTCCTGAAAAATCTAGGTGAAAACTAGAGAAAGGAAGTAAATAATAAAAAAAAGACTTGGAAAACTTGCCTTTTTGTCCTGGCTTTGTGCTTAATGAACAAAGGATAACTGGGAAGTCTTTGCTTGGCTGGAAGACCCCAATGCCTCCTGGACTCTGGTCATGTGTTCACTTTGTGAGTATTCAGACTTATAAACCGTGAATTGCCCTTAAGTTATTAGTAAGCTATTTAGAAGATGTGTGCTTGAACATTAACTTAAAACTTTAAAAATTGAGATCTATACGTATAATTAACTTCCCTTTCTCCTGCTGTCTCCATTTCAGTTTCCTGAATTTCTGGGAAGGCCTGGTTTCCCAACGGAGCGATTTCTGGTAGAAGACTGAAGGTCTGATCCAAGAAAAAAAATCCAACGTAGCCAATGAATTAAGGACAAGAAGGTTTCCATTCAGGTAGGAACACTTCATATCACACATTCAACCACCTTAAATAAAGTGTGCTGATGGCTGGGCCTGATGTGTCTGCTTGGGAAAAGATGGGTATGTAACCTGCCCTACAAGGAAACTGTGCAAGTCCCTTGGAGGTTGTGGTGTTTACCAGAGAATACCTTGGAGGAAAAGGGCTACAATAACAGTATGATGTTTTTTTTCCATTTTTAGCTCATTGTTGCCAGTACACTTAGTGATCTCAGTGCCTGTGGTTTAATCCCTAGAGTTTAGGTATGTGGAGAACAGATGAACTCTTTTGGTATTTTTTCCTGAGACAAGTCATTTTCATAAGTATCTCCATGATCTAGCTGCTTACCAAAATTAAGTGCCATGATGGCCTCAACTCTCCTAAGTGGGGAGCAGCCCAGTTAATGGTGTGAGGAAACTGGCTTGTTTCGTGTGGGGTACATCTAGTCTTACTCTCAGCATGGAAGGGAGCAGAAGGGGACTGGGGAAGGGGGAGGTCTGTTTTAACGTACCTATGTATGTCAAAACCACACCAACAATTTTATCTTCATTAGCAATTTGAGATAAAGGGAATAACGAAGATATCCCAAGAAGAAAGATTCTAGTGACATCAAAATCAGGGCCTGTTCATCTCATTCATTATTATATCCTCAGGTGTTAGCTCCTGACTCCTAGTTAGTGCTCATTGAGCAACCTTTAAAATCACGTTCCTTGCAATCCAATAAGTAAATTAAAATAATTATTGTTTTCAACAGTTTCTTAAATCAGCACTTAGAGAAAGGAAAAACTTGCCTTTAACTGCGAGAAACCTGGGCAGTTATTAGTTACAGCAAATGTGCTGCCCGATGGACCTACCCCTGGCTATAAATAGCTGTCAGACTTGGGAACCCCCAGACCTGAATGGACTTTCTATGTATAGCTTTTCCTCTCTCTAAAGGCTTGTAGAAAAATGCTGTCTTCTGTGAAAACTTGGCCTTGATAAAGGGCATAAAAACACGCAGGCCAGTGATTCTTAGACCTTGGAAAGATTTGAAATATTTTCCCTAGTCTGGGAATCCACATTTTGGAGGCATGAAAACTAAAACTCAAGGAAGTTCAATATTTTGCCCAGCATCGAATGGCAAACATCGAATGGAAAGTAACAATGGTGGCACTCAAATCTGGCTTCTAAATCCCTTTCGCGTGGCATAGAATACATCGCAGTAGCTGCTTATTTTCATTGTCCACAACACCACATTCCCACTATGCCTCATCCCTCGTGCTTCTTTATGAAGGATGATAACATTATTTGCAAACTTTAGCCATAATTAAATGTTTAAATATTCGCTTTTTGTAACTAACTGTGAAATGCTGTTTCTGTTAAAAATATGTAGAAGCGTGCTTTTTCCTTCTCGAAATGTCTCTGCCTGAGTTTATGACCTTTCACTGTTGATGGCTGAACATGACCTGTCTGCTTGGAAACGATGAATTCAAGGGTTCTTATGTGTTAAATATTTACCTCACTCCCTGCAATGTGCATAGAGCCCCTTTTCCTGAAATTTGGAGCACAAACTAGAAAAATAGAAAATCTTCATACTCAAGTAGTTTTTCCTGCAGTCTGTGAAAAGTTTCCACTTGGAGATATTTAATTTCTGAATCCATTGTAATTCTTCATCAGATAAGTTGTTTTTTGTTTGTTAAAACCAGTATTCAGTACTTAGTTTGTTGAATGTTTCTGATAATAAAATATAGTCATAATGGTAATTTCTAGTACTGATAATAGAGTTGGTAATGGAGACAATCTATGTTGATAGTAAAGTGATTTTTATAATGTAAAAAATGTCATAATGTTTCCAGATAATCTGTCTCCTGGATCAAAATGTACTTATTATTAATCCCTCACTTTACAAAAATTTTTAAATTTCACTAATATAATGATTTTACCACATCTTTTAATTCATATTTTAAGATACTTTGTTCAGTGCATTATCTCATTTTAAAATGAGATTACTATATATAATATAGTAGGTAAATATTAACATATATTTCTTAATGGATAGATTAATACTTAATTACTCAGATTTGTTTAATTCCTACTGCTGTTCTTTAGCATTCCCTTTCTCTCTGGAGTCTATCCTACTGACTTCAAAAGCTTGCAAAGTCAGAAAGTGCCGGGAGCCGGTCCATCCTTGCTGCTTGACACAGTTGCTGCAGAGAAGAAAGGTCTGCACAGCATATGTTTCAAGGGACCTGGCGTATATAGCATACTGTTCTTAATATGTTTGCTCCCCTTAGTGCTATGTGTTTTAACCAAGGTCACCTCTCCAAGAAAGGTTGTTTCCCCAGGTAGAGATTTTTCCCTGAAGTTAGGGAGGGAATAAAACCCCTTAACTAAGTGCCAGGCGGGTAGTTAATCACTTTAACT